AGGACATGATATGTCTCACAAACTTCCTGAATAGAAACCCTAAACACCCTGTTGTAACGAAGCCGCGGTGAAGACATAACACAGCCCCCCCCCCACCTCCTTTTTTTTGTTTTTTTTTAACACTTTGGCCGTTACAGGATTCCCTCTGCATAGCGGGGACTCTTGTTGTGCGTTTCCACGTTCCTTTGCGTGTGTGTGTCCATGTGTGAATGGGTGTCAGTGTGTGTGTCTGTGTGTGTGTGTGTCTGTGTGTGTGTGTGTCTGTGTGTGCCCGCCGTTTGAATGGGGGTCTTGTATGAAACCGCTGCCTGCGAGGTTGCGTTTATCCAGTGTGCGCGCTGATGGATTTGTGTTTGCTTTCCTGCGTGCGTGCACGTGGCCGTCCCGTGCGTGCACGTGCAGGGCTGAGAGCGGTGGGGAAATTCACCTCCTGCTTATAGAAAGCTAACCACAGCCACAGAACTCTGTTTTTAGGGGGTCCAATGGCTGTTTGGTTCTCAGAAAGGGACCAGCAGCATCCAGCATTTCAGTTGCTCCTCTTAAACTTTCTATTTAACTTTTTATTTAACTTTCTGTACCATTTGCATATTTTTATCAACTCGATCTTTTAGTATTTTGCCAATTTTTCCAGATTATGCTTTAAAAGCCACAATGAGACCTTTTTTTTTTCTAAAAGTGGGTTAAAAATCTCAAATTCTGACATTATTTAAAGAAGTCTTTTTTACTTTTCTTCACATTGCCCACTTTTATTTGTAAGAACTATTTTGTACTTAAAAGCAAAGGACAGAATGACCAGCTTTGTTGTCCTCATTTTTTAAATCTGGTACTTTCTGAATGCTTATGTGCTGAGTTTAAGTGTTTATACGTGAATTGTCCCTTTACCCTCTACCTCACTGACTATCAGCCTGTTGCATCTTCAGGCTAAACCAACCCTCAAACCCTAAAAAAAACCCCTCCTGCTTGTGCCTGTCTCTTTGCAGTGCTGGCCAGTTTCCGGGGCACCGTCCAGCATGGCCTCCCGCTGGAGATTGGAGACACGGTGCAGATCCTGGAGAAATGTGAAGGTACGCTGCACACCGTGAGCGCCCCCGTTAGCGCACAACTGGCCGCCCAGGGAATGAAAATAGAAACTAAACAGACTAGAACGTGTGTGGAGATCATTTCCTTTCGCTCTAGTGGTGGAGTACACATGCAGATCACATCTGCTTTTCATGTCTCAGTTGGGTCTATATACACTATTAGAGCTATTTAGGGGAATCAGAAGTGAATCAGCAGTGAATATTTTTGTAATAAGTAAATATGTTTCCTTTATTTTGCGTCTGGATCTGAAAGTTCATCTCGGGTGGCATCGCACCTCCCAAATCTTCAGGAGGGATTTTGCTCCGATCCCAAAATGAGCAGCGCGTTGTTTGTGTCGAATGCCTGTGGAAGTGATTATTTTCTGCTTTTTCCTGCAGCGCGGGCTTCTCCCGGCCTCCTGCCCACACGCCGTCTGTTTTTCTCCTCCGCTCGCCTGTTATTACAGTTCGCTTCCATTCCTTCTCTCCATTCCTTCTCTCCGCTCCTTCAGAGCGGGCTCCTTCTCTCCGTTCTGTCCTTTCTGTCCGACGGCTGTTTTAGAGCCGTTTTGCACACCTCCACGGGCGTGGACACACACACACACACCAGGCTCCGGTCTCCTTTTTGCCGCGCACAAACACACACATACTCTGACAGACGGGCTGCAAAAAGCCAGTGAGTCGTGCAGGATGCCAGTCGGAGGGATGTGATATTGTGGCTAAAGCCCCAGAGGAAGTAGACAATAGCGCAGCCAGCTTGAACGCGAGGGCCCGGAGGGAGGAACCGAATCCAAATCCGGGAGGCAGGCCGCTGACAGCAGAGCGGACAGACCCACGGCCCAGCTTAGCGCTGATGCTATCGACACTTCACAACACGGCCGCTCAGAGAGGGAACGTCTCTTTGCTGACATCCTGCCTTAAAATGCTTCGCCCCGGCATGGGATTTCTCACTTGACCCGCTTATCTTTTGTTTTAGCGGGCTGCTGTTTGTGGTGGCTACGTGAGGCTAGCTGCACTGTACACAAACCCTGTTTTTGTAGAGTTCCACCTCAGTGGGCTGTGTCTGAATTCATTTTTACTGATTTTCCGAGTCGGCCCTGGCTCATAAGTGACTGTTCTTAAAGGTTGCCAGTGTAGTTCACCTGCCAGCCAAAGGTCGGTTCAATTAGCAGTTTTCAGGTCTTTAAATATCTCACGGCGTGGAGTCACAGATTCTAAACCAACGGCTCGCATTTCGCTCCACGTTGTTCTTTTGCCGAAGCGTTCCTATAATTTCGGAGCGCTATCTTCCCCGCACACGTGCCGCTGAAAGAGTGACTCATCTGTGGAAACACTGAGTGTGTTCCACGGCCCAGACAAACGACCACGTGCACCCGGGGCAGAGCACAGAGAGCCTTACCTAAGCTATTGATGCTGCCCTGAAAGCCAGCAGTGATTAGAACAATCTAATACATTTACATTTGGGCTATTTAGCTAATGCTCTTATCTGGGGGGGGACTTAACCGTGGCCGCAGCCGTTGGAAAGAGCTTAAACAGTCGGTTTGGCAAAAGCTGCTTTTGATTCGATCAGTGTTGGGATTTGAAACGCACAATAAAGTGAGAAGACGCAGACGTTCCACCTCCTTTTTTTGTTTTGTTTTTACGAGTCGAAATCACAGTCGCTGGGTCGCTTTGAGGCTAGGCGTTAGCAGCCTCTTAAAAGCATCCCCGGTTTCTAATGAGAGCTGCCTTGTGATTTTCAAAATGCCACCAAAACTGAAAACACTTATTCGTCGGCAGCGGGAGTTGGCTGTGGGATGCAATTCCCCTGGAAATATTCAAGTTGTCTTTCACCGAGCTGGAATAGAAGCAACACTTTGGTGGATTTCTTATTAAAGCCTTTGAAGATGCTGCCGTTAACAGAACGAGAACACCCACATGACTCTGAACCCCTTTTATTCTATTCCTCTCTGCCTAAAATTTGACTTTAACTCTGTCTCTGCAGGATGGTACCGGGGATTCATCCTAAAGAATCCAAACATTAAGGTGAGAAAGCCCCCTCTATCACACTGGACTGTACTGATTACGTCAGTTTTTCTAATTAAAGCAATGACACAAAAGCTGAAAGGCTTGTGGTGCATTCATATACTCCCTGTTAGATAACAAATGCGAGCATTATTACCGAGTCATGACACGCAAGCTTTTAGTCTCCTCGCCATAAAATCAGCATTACATCTTTAGAAATTAGCATCTCATTAAGCCCGGACCGTTCTGGAAACAAGTCATGCAGACTGATGCGGCTAATGGCTTTAGGTGGAGGGACTAAAAATAGATAGAAACGAGAATATTTAAACAGCGAAGGGAAGAACACTTAGGATTGAACCTAGAAAAGGAAAAAAAAGAAAAGAAAAAGTCAACATCGAACAACCTCTCTGGGTGTTTTGGAATGCTGAGCGTGCGAAATACTTCCAAAAACAACCGAGCTGTCTGCGGCTGGAACTCCCCACAGCAGGCAAAAGGCATCGTATCAGAGGAGAGAGGTCACTTTCAGAGCCAATAGGCGGGTTTTTCTGGCCTTCGGAGGCAAACGCCTGTCAGGAAAGCAGCGATGAGTCCTGATCTCTGTCCAACCGCCGCCATAAACTGCAGAAGAAGAAGACTTCGGACGAGTTCATTTAGGAGTTCAGTTCTCCTTGTCGATGTTTTTCTGGGCTGGATTGATCTGCTTTGATGCCTCCCAGGAAACAGCACTCACAAAAAACACACCTTTTTATCATCATTTGTCGATAAAAATCCCACAGCGGCTTGCTTTTGTCTTAGCCTGTCCCCCCTAATCTGCCTCTATTAACCCACAAGTACCTTTAGCTCTGTATTGATTATCGTTTTTCCCCGCCTAAAAGCTGTGAGACTCTAATGGCTTCTGGGAGCTTTCTCATTAACCTGTTTATCTTTGGTCTACAGGGGATTTTCCCGTCCAGCTATATCCACTTGAAAAATGCTCATGTGAAGAACAAAGGGTGAGTGAGGTCCCATTTGATTTTTCTACTTCTTCTCCTGTGTGTTTGTGTGTGTGGCCTCTGGTTTATGGTCCAACGTCTTTGTTTTTTTGTGCCTGCAGGCAGTTTGAGACGGTCATCCCCGTGGAGGACTCGGTCATCACGGAGATGACGTCCACGCTGCGCGAATGGGGCGCCATGTGGAAGCAGCTTTACGTGGTGGGGGGGCACGCTTTGCATCGATCCCAATTCCAAAGCCGCCTTTTTTATGCTCCTCGTTTAGCGCCGCCTAATTGAAACACAGCCCAACCTCTTTTGTAGCTCACTCAATTTGTCGTATCGACTCTGTTTGTGGCCCATTAAAACATCCGGGGCGCTGATTAAATTGAACTGACGAATGCTAGCAGGTCGAAGGCTTTACGTTTCCAGAAAAAAGCACCAGGACACTGACGCTAATCTGTTTTTAGCCTCTTGTCTGCTGCTCTTTGGGTCAGCCTCCAACCTCCTGTTATCAGTTTCATGGCCTCACACTTTTGCCGTTTCAAAATGGCGAACGTGTGGAGGCCTCTTTTAGGCGGTTCTCAGCTCTCGGCCTGCTCGGTAACGCTCCGTTTTCCTTGTTTTTCCCTGCAGAAGCACGAGGGGGATCTGTTCCACCGGCTGTGGCACGTGATGAATGAGATCCTGGACCTGAGGCGGCAGGTGCTGGTGGGCCACCTCACCCACGACCGCATGAAGGACGTCAAGCAGCACATCACGGCCCGACTGGACTGGGGCAACGAGTGAGTGGAGGAAGTTTCATTTTCATTGATGATTCTGCACTTTTCTTCCACCTCCCATTGATTTCCCAGCTCTGCTCGGCCACTCTGGTCATCTCGCAGAGCCCCACAGAGATGGAGTGGCAGAGACTTGAAGCTCGCCTTAGTCACTTGAGCAAAAGAGCATTTTTTCTCAGCTCCTTCCTCAGCGGGTTGTTGCCTACGACCGCTGCTGTAAACAGCACCCGGCTCACACTTTTGCTGCTAAAGCTGTCACTGCAGGCAGAAAAATGAGGACAACTGTGGAGCGCACACACTTTATATCTCCGTTTTCTCCGTGAAGAGACTTGTCGTCAGTCGTCCGCTTTTGGGTTCAGACTGACTCCCCTGTCTGTCCGTTTCCCCACAACAGCCTGGATGAAAAAAGAACTGTGAGAAGAGTTCTGAGTATGAAAGGTCTAAAAACCGGTGCTCGAACTGACACAGTAGAAAAGCCGTCAGGGGAGGAGCGATTAAAAAGAATTTAAAAAAATCTGCTGCTGGAAGATGAGACAAAGATGGAATTAATCCATGCTCTTTCCAACTTAGAATTGCCTTTCTAACAGTAGTGCTTCACGCAGAATAAAACGGAATAAAAGTTTCTCACCCTTAAAAAAATGTGGCAGCCCTGTAACACACCCCCCTGCCCCCCCCCTTTCCCCCCATTTATTGCCACCTACAGGCACACTCCTCACTCAAATAAGGTCTCGCTCCCTCTCACACTTCATTCTTCCTGCTGTTTTTCTCGCCTCTTAGCGCTCCACGCTGCTGGGTTCAAATGAAAAAATAGAAAAATCCAGAGTTCTCACCCCCTCTTAGCTTAACCATCCACTATTTTTCTGTTTGGCTCGAGGGTTTCAAGCTTTTTCAAGAAAAAAATACGTGTTTTTGAGGGTCAAAACCTGCTGACAGGGGGTCCATTTTGCCAATCGGCCACCTGACTCTTGTTTTCCCCATGTGTGTTTTTTGTGTTGCAGACAGCTGGGCCTGGACCTGGTCCCCCGGCGAGAGTTCAGCATGGTGGACCCCGACGAGATCAGCGTCACCGAGCTCTACCGACTGGTGAGCGCGCCGCGCCGTTTTCTGGTCCGACCGTCTCTTTCACGGTGCCGGTAATTAATTGCCTGGGTTTACGCCCCATTTTCGGGGATGCTAAATCCAGCGCGGCTCGGCAGGTACTGCGTTTGGGAGTGATCGGGGATATAACAGGTGCTCACCGTGACATCATTCAAACTGACAGCCGTGAGCTACTTGCGTTTTTTTTTGCATTGTAAGGGTTTTTTAAAAGGCCTGGGCAACAGTTCCTGCTCATGCTTCTTGTTCTTTTTGCCTCTAATGTTATAGATTAGGCCGTTATAGATATCAAAGTCATGTTGATGATATTTGGAAAGGGGTTGGACTCAAGTTGAGCAGTCATTACATATTCTAAGGATGGGTGTAAAAACTCTTTACTTTGGAGCAGATTTTGTGTGGAAATTGGACTTTAAAGACACCAAACCAGCTTCCTCTGTCGTCCAGAGAGCTTTAAATTCACCTTTGTCGGTGGATAAATTTGGTGTCCGGTGGTCAGCTGGCTTCAAAACCCCCCCCCCCCATCCGTTTCCATGTGGATCTCTTTCCTTTCCCTACTTTTCCCCTCCTGCTCATCCCTCCTTTCCCCAAGTCCCTGCCGCTGTTACCCTGACAACCACTTCTCTGCCCTGATAAAGCGTGGCGGCTGAGGTGGGGGGTGAGGGTGGGTGAGGGGGGGGGGGGGGATTATTTTGCGCTTGGTGTCGGGCCTCTCCTGTCAGAGGGGTAATTGAAGCTCTTAATCTGCGTGTTTCTGTTTTTTTTGTTTGCCAAAACAAAAGCAGCCCCAGCCGGATGAAAGCCCACCTCCATTAAAGGGCGTAGAAAATGAGAATATGAAAGCAGATCAGGCTTTCCTCGCGGCTTTACACAATCACACAATCACACGTTTATGCAAATGAGCCCGCGCCACTTGTATATGATCCCGGGATATCTTCAGTTGTGAGAGGAGCCTCTTTGTCTGTGGGGTCCCGTGTTGTTGCTGTGGTGTAATTAAACCGAGATGGGGATTACCTAGTCAGTTTGTGTGTCTGTGCGTGGCCTCACTGCTGCGTTGTGCCAACAAATGATGTCATCCGTCAACTGAGAAGGCCAGCAGAAAGACGTCTACTGTCCAGGATGCGCCTGTTTTCTCCCATAATTCTTCCATTTGTCTTCCGGCTGAATGGAGCACATAGAGGCAGATATTAGTCAAAGCCTCTAAAAAGTCATACTTATTTTAAATTAAATTTTTATTTTAGTTTACTCAAAGGAAACTGTAAGATTAGTATTTGATTAAAAAATAGTCGGAGGTTCGTTTCCAGCTCTGTGCATCAGGCTTTTAGATGATTATGAGTCGAGTTGTCGGATGTGGTGCTGCGTTTTGATCTCCAAAAGAAGAGAGTTGTTGTGTATTTAATTGAACAGCGGTTTTCCCGAATCCGATCCTTAATTGGTTCCCCAGTCTCTCGCTACGTCTTAAAATGGGATTGGATTCCGCACCATAAAAGCAACTTGAACTTCAGATTTCCTGTTTATCTTCCCTGGGAGACGGAGATCAGGGCGGAACTGGAGCAGAACAGACCCGAGTTCGGGGTCCCTCTGAGGGTAATTCATTAGCCGTGGTGGATAGATGTGATAGATGACTGGCCCCGGACGAGTGGTGGTGAAGGTTTCTCTTTGGAAAATCCCCTTTTGCACTCTGCAAAAGGTCCATCTCCAGCAAGCTCAAAAGAGAGATGAAAAGAGGCCTCGATAGATGGAATCCCCCGGCATAAATGAGGCTTTTTCCCCGTTCTGGGACGGAATCCGTGCCTTGTTGTTGGATGGTTCCAACAATGCCAGTTTATTTCTGGGAGCCGAATCAGACGGAGAAGTCGGGACAGAAAAAAAAACAAAGCGAAAACAAAAGGCGTCCGTCACTCTGACGGCTGCTGTCACTGGAAACTGACTGGTGGGGAAGTCTAATGTGCACGTTGGTGGTTTTTTCCTTTTTAAATCTGCGGTGCGGCTGTCCAAAGCATTTAATTTATGTCATGTTGATTTCTGACCGATGCAAGGCCTGTTTAAGCTAAATTTTAAACATCATGCGGAGCTACAGGTGTTTTAATGGAACTGACTCACTGTAAGTTGTTATTTCCATGTCAAGGTACTAAATTAGCTTTATCTTTTATTTAAAACAGATTAGAAAACCATTGATTAAAACTTAAAACAACAGTTTCGGAACATATTTGTTCCCAAAAATGTGTAAATTGTATATTATAATATAGAAGAGGGGTTATAAGCTAGTCCAATTGGTCCAGAAATAGAGTGTGATGAGTCACTGTTGAGGTTAAATTGCATTTTTGTAATCAAACTACACATGGAAGCGGATTTTTTTGATGCACAATTCCCCTTACTATTCAAAATGTCATATTTTCATCAGGTTTTGAAACAGCGAAAGACTGAAATGAGAATCTTTTGTTTCAGTTGCTGCTTTACTTGCTTCTCCGTTAATATTTTGAGGATGGTGCCTTCTGCAGAGCTGATGTTTGCTTTATCCTTCCCTTTTTATTTTCACAACAAGCATCCCCTTCTCACCCCCTCCCACTGCGACGTGTTTTTCTGCGGCTAAAAAAGCGGCGAATTTGGCCGTGAGTCTGGCGGCCATCTGGTGCTGTGTGAGTGTGTGTGTCTGTTTGTGTGTGAGTGTGTTCTGTATCTTTGGATGTTGTTCACAGCCGACTGGCTGGACCCACTCAGTAACCCGGGCTGTTATGCACATGCTGATCCGATGGGTTTCTATGTCTTTTCCATTGGAGCTTTGCCTGTCAAAGTCCACCAAGTGAACCCGTTTGCTGCTTCCATCTGAGGCAGCCGAGAAGATCTGAAATTTCAAATGGGATTTTATGAAAAAAAAAAAAAATGTTGTGTTGTTTTGCACAAAAAGGTCTAAAAAGTCTAAAATATGCAGTGTTGCATTTATAAAACTGGCAAAAACTGACATAGTGACCATGCAATCTACATTAGATGCTTTATTAACTTGATATATTTTAATTTAATCTGTATCTGAGCTTCTATACATACACATAGAAATAGATATACACATGTGTACAACCAAAGATGCTCCCTACTGGGAGATTTCCGGCTTGGAAATCAACACTGGTATTAAAAGAAATGTAACCCAACATGTTTTTGCAGCTTTTTTTGCCTTTGATGCTGCCTTTTGAAGCTGAAAATCGGACTCTTTTTTAAAAATTGTTTTACCCTTTATCATCTGCTTGTTTGAGCTTGTGTTGGAACAGAGCTGTGAAGTCCTCCATAAAGGTTTTTCCTGACGTGCCCCCCCCCCCCCTGCTCCAGATGGAGCACCGGCACCGTAAGAAGGAGACTTCTGCCCCCGCCAGCACCCACCACCTGTTTGTGCACGTGAAAAGCCTCATGAACGTCAACCTGGGGGAGGAACTGGAGGTCTTCTTTCATATTTACGACGGACGGGAGAACAAACCACTCAGGTAGAAAAGCCTCGTTTTACAAATTACGTATGAAAATAATCATATTATTTTCAGAATTAGAGCTTTTTTTATGGCTGTTTTTCTTGTTTGTGGTTTTGCACAGCAGGTATTTAAAGATCACAAATCTATCCAGTGTGTGTGTGTGTGTGTTTGTGTTATGTCATGTCATCATCTGTGAGCATAATCCACAGAAGTGCAGAAGAAAGGGGGGGCTGGCGTAGTCCCTTCCTTCCTCATATAAAAAAAACATTTTTTTTCGTGACAGTGCATTAAACGCAGCAGGTTGTTAAAGCGTACTTCTGCACATAAAAAAGTGGGCATGGCCGTCCTATTTTCTCCTCTGAGTGCGGTCCACATGAAAGAGGGTCTCGCCCACAAACTCCACATCCCCCCCCCCTTCCTGACGGGGTGTCACCCAAATAGGAGGCTGTGTTTAAGCTCCCTGGTTTCCGAGTTCAAAGCGAAGAGATTCCATTTCATGTCACAAACAAGAGGCTTCGTCAGGAACGGCAGAAGCAGTGGGATGAAAAATGAGCTTAGCGGCACTGAAATTTCCTTTGATAAGTCGAGCTTTCCTCCCTCTTAGTATGGCATCAGAATACGATGGAAGCTTTTGTTTCTGCGGCTTTCTGCGGCTCCAGTTCAGTTTGGATTGTAATCAGTTGTGATTGTCGTTAGCTGTCCGAGCAGCTGTGTGTACTTTCTTTAAGGAGTTCGTCCCAAAGCTCCTCCTTGGATTCGGGGCTTCCTCTTTGTTCAGTCTCTCTCAGATGATCCCACACAGGCTCAGGGGAGGAGTCAATCCTCCATCAAACCTGTTGCCGCTGATTTTCAGTCCTCTTCTTGTGTCTTTTGGCATCCCCTTGCAGATACTGGACTGAAAATAAGTGGAAAAAGCAGCTGATGTCCAAGGAAAGACCTTCCAAAAACTATCAAATGAGAGATTCAGGCTAATTGGAATCTAAGCTGCATGAGTAGCACTCTTAGAAAAGCTATTAAACGCTCTTTTTGGCCACATTTGAACTTACATATAATGTTTTTTTGTTTTGAGGCGAGTCATTGGTCTTCTCTGCTGTCATATTCAATTTGAACCAAATTTTTTAGCATTTTTACCCTGCTATATGGATGGGTTACCCCACTTCCCGAGCCCTGTTGTGCAACTGCAGTGAACCAGCATGGTGGATGAAGCCCAAATCCATAAAACATGAAGCCAAAAGGCTAGTTTTCCTTTCTCAGTGTGTAGCTTTTTGTGCGTTTGCCTGAGCTGTGTTTGTGGAGAGTCGCACGCTGGCGTCTGGCCAGCGTTGCCTCTCGCTGTCACACGCAGAAACACAGACACACACATTAACAGGATCTGCTGGCAGAGGGCCATGCTGCTGGCAGTTCTGGTGGACGTGTGTGTGTGTGTGTGTGTGTGTGTGTGTGTGTGTGTGTGTGCGTTAGCCCAGATGGGGGTCTGACCCGTCGTCTGGGTGCCGTGCCAACACGGGCAGCTCCTTTGTGTTGAGCGGAGTCCTTGTCGGGCCTCTGAGCGACACACACACGGTGTCAGACTGCTCGACACCCGCTGATCCTGTTGGTTTTTATCGCTCTGCCGGTTTTTTGACGCCGTTCCAGAATAAACGCACGCATCGACACGGCCATTTACAGCCTCCTTAAAGAACCCCGGGGGTACCCGCACCTGTGAACGGCTTTCTTTTTACCCACCTGTCCGCATCGGAAAGTCTATTCATCCCCGTTCCCCGTGGGCTTTTGGGCATGATTTACTGATAGTTAGAGTAGACGGACGTTAATTTACCCGACATTTTCTATGTCACCTGCTCACCGTCCCACCGGCCCCCGTCTTGGATCGGGGAGCTCGCCGTTATGGAAATGCGAGCGGTGATGGAGGCAGATAAGGCCCCGCTGCGGGGTGGAGGGGGGGGGCGGGGGGGGCCGCAGGAGTGGCTGTTAATTGTCAGTCGGGGCTTCAACAATGGAACGCTAATTAGGGTTTGAGAAAGGCAGGCGGATGGTGCGGAGGAATCCGTCTCCGGACGGCGGGATAAGTGGCGTGGAGAGTCGGAGGCAGCCCCTTAATGAGGAACAACAGCCTTTAAGCCAAACCCGGCCCTGGGGGGGGGTTTATTCCCCTCCGGCTGATGAAAGGGAAACTTTACTGGAAGGATACATGTATGAAAAATCACAACTATTTGTAGAATTAACGAGGAGCCCAATTCATTTAAACATTGGCACTCTCTACCCTACATTTACAATGTATTTGGACCTGTTAATGGCTCGGGCCGTTAGGAAATGGTCCTCTCGTGTTGTGTCTGTGAGCAGCTCTGGGCGGTGTTATATTGGATCGGTCGGAGTGCTCCTCTCGCGTTAAACGGGCTGAAAGTGGCTTACACAGCCAGTCGCTCGCAGCTTGGCACGGCGTCCGGCGCCCGTCGCATTACAAGGTTTTCTCTCTCCGCCTGTCTGTGGACTGTGAAAGTCACCTAACCGGATTAGGCCTCAGCTCGCCAGCCAGAGGAGGGGGGGGGGCCCAGCAGGAGGCCCCCACCGCCTAGCGCACAACACGAGAGAGGGCAGAGTACAAAGGGAACGGGGGAGGCCGCGCTCTTTTTGCATGAAATAGACTTTGAGGTCTGAGTTTTTTTCATTTCCAGGCGCTTGACTTATTGTGAAGCTGATTTTGGTCTTTCAAGCGCTCCGTTTTTCGAGCATGATTGGGACAAAAACCCACGACCTCGAGTAGATTTTATGACTCGTGCAGGTTAGCAGAAGGTTTGTTATAAGTCTGAATGACTCCCACTTAAATGTGGTGATGGAGCGGGTTTATTTAAGCCTGAACTTTTCCATCTACATTCCTATGAAGTAATGAGATAAATCATCTCATGAGTTATTAAGTCAAGCACCTGTACAGTTAAATGTCCAACTCAGTGCAGTTTCTTCCAGGATCTTTCAACACTTACTTGATTTATTCTCAGCTCTCACATCTAAAGGTCTTCCTCAGACAGGTTGCCAGTTGTCGGATTGAGGTTTGACATTTTGGGCTGCCCAGTACCTGAAATAGAAAAAGATACCTACAACAACAGGCTTTTAGTCAGCAGAGGTCAGCTGAAAATGGGCTTTGGACGCCATCAGTGTTAGAGAGCACATCTCCTCCCCGTCTCCACCTTTCTGTTCCATGATTTCTCACTGAATAAGTACGCAGTTGCCTACTTTACTCATCCATAGCCGTCTTTATGTTTCCCTGTCAGCGGTGACTGGGATACAGATGTTTAGGCTCGTGTGACACCGCTAGCTGACCTCATTTATGTCCGTGTGTGCTCCCTCTCCTGTACAGCGAACGCTTCTTTGTCAGGCTGAACAAGAGCGGGCTGCCAAAGTCGCCCGAGAAGACGGAGAGACAATGCACGCTCTTTGTGGTGAGTATCGAACACGAGTTTCCATTCAAACACACCGACAGGGAGCAACGGAAAGCTTTTTCTAAGCTAGCTAAACCTATGCATCATCCTGCTTTTCTCCGTTCTCTATCACCGGGTGTGATGACAGAGCTTTTTTTCTTTTTTTCCCCCTGTGTTTTGCATCAGGATTTGGGAAGCAGCGATCTACGAAAAGACGTCTACATCGTCGTGCACATCATAAGAATAGGTGGGAGTTCTCGCCGATTTCCCCGGAGCTTAACGGGCTCTGTTGGATCTGCCGGTGACAGTATTCTGTGTGTGTGCGTGCAGGGCGGATGGGAGCGGGAGAGAAGAAGAATCTGTGCAGCGTCCAGTACAGGCGGCCGTTCGGCTGCGCTGTGGTCAGCATCGCCGATCTCCTCACTGCTGACTCCAAAGATGACCACCTGCTTAAAGTTTACGCGTGAGTCCCTGTTTGGTGTCATCACACACCTGAATCCTGCTCGAAAACACTGGACCAAGCCACCCTGTCCTTAAATAATTGCTAAAACTAGGAAAGCAGTTGATGATTGCGTGATGTGTTTATTTTTTGCTCAGAGGAATGAGATTCTTTTTCTTTTGGAGAGACAAAATAGGCCATTACCTTGAAAATTCCAACAAATCGTAGTTCTTAAGAGGCTCGTTGCCGCCTTAATTACAGCAACAGAAGAAGAGCGCTTTGTCAGAAGTTATTACTTGATTGGACCCTCTGTGGAGCCATCAAAAACTCTTTCATATACCTAAAACACAGCAAAAACGGGAGGACAGGATGCATATTATAACAACAAAGCAATCCATGAAAGAAAAAGATTCAGAACAACTGAGTGACAAATGGTGATTGTTGCATTAGATTAGGTGGATGCTTCAGCAGTTTCAGTTTAAAGTTCGACTTATTTAAATATTTAACTCCTCTAGTTCTGCAAGAATCTCATAATTCTGTCATTTCTGGGTCCCCTTTTTCTTCCTAAGGTGTAACACTGAGAGTGAGTGGTACCAAATCCATGAGAACATCATCAAAAAGGCCAATTCCAGGTACAATTTATCTGGATCCAACACAGGTAAGCTCTACTTTTCCACCCTTTAACTCTCCCGCTTCCTGGCTTTTTGTACATTAAACATAACGTCACTGCATTTGATCTCATTTTGGCTGGATCATGGGTTCCCTTTCCGCCTTCCTTTATGAGACGCGCATCAGTCGACAGCTTTGGAAGTTTCTTGTGAAACCTGGGTGCTTTCCTGTCTGCCCCTGATGACAAACTGAGCAGCTGGGTCAGTGTCTCGCCATTTGGCGGTCAGCTTCCGGTCACCGGGACCCGGGTTCCTCTTTCGGGGGCAGGAGCCCTTTTTTTTTTTTGCGTTTACGTCTATAGGAAAACGTGCTGTTGCATATGCGTTCGGAGATTTCGTATAAATAGCTGCATCCGCATTATAACGAAGCTCAGCATCAGCAGTTTCCCCTGGCAACAGGTCGGCGGAAAATCAGAACATTCAGTTCCTCAAAAGAAAAGAGACGTCAAAGACAAGCCAGATGTGGCTGAAATGGGTTCAGTCTGCTACGAAATCCACATTTTTCTGCACTAAAGAACGAGATCTTTAGCAGCGATCGCACTTTTGTGGTGTCCAATTATTCACATACGTTTATTATTCAATACTCGTCATTTCTTAAGAAACCCTGATAATTGGGGATTGCACAGTCTCCTCTTGATTGAGTGTAAAAGTTGCTGTTTTCAGGACTTGACATTTGCAGATGATGCTATGAAAGGCATCAGGTGAGGTTTTTTTTCCTCTATTAGGATCAAAATAAGAAAAAGAGGCCAGCAACTTTGAATAAAAAGCAGCATTTGACCCATTAAGTATTTGCGTTGAAACAAAATGTTCGTTTCACAAAAGTTTGAAGGTTCCCACTAAGGCTCGGGTTTTTCACATTGTGGATATATTGCACAATTCTGTAATTCCACATATGAAGGGATGTTTTCATTTGAAAAACACTGCATTTGCAGTTCCTGAGAGGTGATTTTGATTTTAGTTTTACTTTTGTTTTGCAGCTCAGACGCAATAGAATCACACCCACTATTCGTGGAACTTGAGCCACAGCGGATTGGGCAAGATTTGGTCAGTTTATCAGGGCTGTGTGTGTTTCCATTAGGGGGGAAATGCACACTGTGTTTAGCCCCAGGCAGCGTGGAAGGCATTCGTCCTACAGCTTGTTTACAGACACGTTTCTGCCTTAATTTGACGTCAAAATGTTGTTTTCTTAGTAGAAATACTCATTATGGGCGGAGATAAACATTCTAAGGAAAGCAGCATAGTCTCTTTTTTAAAGGCTGAGTGCTATTAGCGGACAAGCCGGGGAAATGGGAGGAAAAACAATTAGGAGAATGTCAAGAATCTCCGAGAATGATCCACTGAGTCAGCCTCTCTCTGGCCTCCGAGGACCAATAATTAGTCGAGGACAAGTGATGTGAGTCCGGGATCTTAAATTATCGAGAGCAAGCATGAGCGTGAAGAGATGCTGTGATTAAGCTGAGCAACACGAGGCCGTTTGTTAAACAGCCTGCCTTATCCTCCTTCAAAATTCCCATAGAGCGCAAGACGCGAAGAGCTTTGCCTTTTCAGATAAGCACGACAAAAGGCCGAATTAGTATGCGATAAAGCCGTGACTTGTCAGGAAAAATAGGACTATTACCCGACCCCTATCCTCATTTTTCTCACATCAGCTGTCTGCGGCGTTCTTATCTAACGGCCAACTCCAGCAAAAATCTGGATTCCAGCTTTATTTTCCGCTCGCCCTTGACTGCTCATATCGTCCCAGATAACGCTAAACTAGACATGGGGGATCAGATTAAGAAGCGATAGCTCGCACAGACAATGCGCGGCGTTGTTGCCGTGGCAGCAGATGCCATCACAGATACCAGTTAACCAACACCAGCACGCTCATCCAGCTCATCACTCACAATGGTGGTCAAAAAAAAAAATCCGCCATTACCGGGAGAATCCGTCCGTCCCGGAGGCGCTCCTGGCAAGCTCTCTGCGGCCACATAATAAACACGTGATAAGTGAATTATTGTACGAGGTTTACTCCCCTCTTTGGCTGCGGTTTGCACTTCATCACACACACTTGGATGTTGCTATCGAGTAGCTGTCGGCTGGAGACATTGATCCGGCCGGACGGCGGATTGGCTCCAGTGCCTTCCCTTTCAAAGTGCATTAGAGGAGAGCTGCAGATCTGTGGTCACTATACGCTGCCCTTTGATTCACATCTACATCCCAAGCCTCTTAATTGCTTCGGACACTTATGGAACTAAATCGAAGAAAACAGCTTTTATTCCCCTAAAGTTCGAGGTATTTCTCTGAGTTTCACTCCAACTGGTGAAATAATTACAAATTTATTAGCTTAAACGGTTCCACTTTGCAGGGATTCTGCTCTGAAATCACACACTAACGTCTGTGATTCTAAAAGGACACGTGGGCTTATACACATGAGGAAAGAGTAGGTTCACATGAGGTAGTGTTTATGAGAAGGACAGTGTTTTAGGAGGCTGCGCTGGTATAAAAACTCACACCGACATCCTCATTCTGCATTCAGGGGAGCTTCACTCATCACCGGTGGCGTATTTTTCTGCTCATCTCCAAAGTCAATTCCTTCCAAAGGTAATTATTCTGCTGGAGAGCAGCATTGCAAAATAGATAACACTGGAGTTACGTGCCAAACTCCAATGAAAATCAAAAAATGGAGCAAATGTTTACCGGCTGCGACATGAAAACTGCCGTTATCACAAGTTTAACTCCAGCTCCGTGCTTCTGTTTGTATGTGGAAATGTCTAAACTTATTTAACTTTTTACTGTAGCTGTTCAACAAACACGAAGAACTGTCAGAAAAAGGCTTCATTTAATGGAAATCTACATCCAGAATGAAGGAAAGATTTGATGTAGATACATTTTATCATCATAGTTTGTTTAATGAAACAAGATAAACTATGTTTAACTGGTCCTGAGGGGTGCAGTTTACTCCACTGATCTATACCAGCTCATTACATTCCAAATTAGTCTGATTCATACAGAGCCAGTTTAAAAAAAGGCGTCTGTGGAAATTAAAACTTTTAACAGCAGCACACTCAGGTTCTGTGACCAGCTGGGGGTATATAGGAAAGCAAAGAGGGGGGAAATGTATATTATTTGTTACAGAAAAATGAATAATTCAATAATTTCTAAAGAGTTGTAACAATGCCTGCCTCACTCATGATGAAACTTTGTTTTACTATGTGAGTAAAAACTCAAAGGAAAGACTAAAATGGTGAAAAGGGGGCAGAATGGTTTATTAATCAGTCGATAAACGGATTCATTGTGTCATAAAAGTGTCTCTGACATCATTATATAAGTATCCAGACTCCTTTCCCTGCTGTTTTTTAAATGGTTTTATCATTATATGGTGTGCGGTTCATCATAGCCAAACAGATCCGGGTGGATTTTGTAGTTTGTCCCTATGAAAACACTCTCCCAGGACCCATCATTTGTATCTGAAGGCGTCTTCAGGCTGACTTGGCAGCGAGTTCGAAGAGGGAGCGATGACTGTTCTGCCCTAAATACACAAAACACACAGGCTGTGATCAGACAGAAAAAGGAAGGGAGGCAGCATGTGGGGAGGTCTTTTGTTTCCATCCTAGCCTGGTGACGGTCTTTTGTTTTTGCTGTTGCATTTCGGGGTTCATTGAATTGAGCAGAGGAGAGAAAGCGTTGGTGAGTGGACTTCATCTGAATCCTGCATCTGTAGGAAGGCCAGGTGGAGTCATTCAGCTCCCACCTCCACATGCACGCGTAGGCAGCCACAGAAGAGGCTGCGACAGCTCAATCTGTTTTGTTATTGAGTTTGTTCTTTTTTTTAAGTTGGTGAAGAGGCCGTTTGGGCGGACGGAGGACATTACAGGCCGAGCAGGAATGAAACTGCTGGCTTAGTTTAAGAGTTTGTAACTCATTTGGGTATTTATGCATACCAAAGACTTCCACGGAAACCATTCATCTTTTTTTTAACAACATTTTTATAATTTTTTCAGAAATAATAGTGTGGTACAAATGTACATGTGTATTTCTACATTTTTAAACATAAAAAACAACCAAACACAAACACAGGGTGATTACAAGAGTGTGGGAAACCATTCATCTTTAATCGTTTTTTATTATTTCAGATCATCCTGATAGAAAAGAGTACATTTTTTTTGTTAAAGTTACATCAGGAAGGATAAATCTACCATTAAAAAGGGGCCTAAGCCTGATATTTAAAGCTTCTGCTGCTTCAATCGTGCAGAAATTGAACATAAATCCATTTTGTACAGGTGAGAAACGGTGTTATTGTTGTTCCATGTTAGCTGTTCTTGGGCTATGATTGGTTTGGCAAACGCGAAAACATTTGAACGTCTTTTTGTGGAGTCTGTTGTGTGTACACACACCAGTCGGGTCTGCTTGTTGACTCCCAGTGACTGAGAGCTCTCCCAGCTAATGAAGCGTTTCACCCCCCTGCCTCCAGACTTCTCCAAAAAGCAGATCCCCGGCAGTAATTATTATCGACGGCGTCTTATTTCCCGTGCACGCCGCTGCTCCCCTCCCCGCATGCACAGGCAGGCACACACGGACAAGAAGGAGACACATTTGGAGCCCTTATCACCAGCCGGTGCTTTAATTTAGCTCCGCTGACATTTGGAGTTATTGCATAAGGATATTGATTCGAGACGGCTGCCTTCATGTAGGTTTTCCTCCCAATAAAAAAAAGGAGCTGGGGGTGACTCAGGGGGCTGCCTGCGTTCTGTGACTGTGTCAGCTTCCTCTCCATACAGTAAATTCTCCTTTTGAAATCTATAACTTTAACGGTGTTGTTTTTTCCAGCCCAAACAGCCAATAAAACCTGAGATGTGCCTCCGGGCCTCCTTCTTTTTCTGAGAACATATTAAAGCTATGTGAAGACGATATTTCAGGTTTCAAATGTGATTTTTGTCTGGTTTTCTAGGCCTGGCCGTGGCTCTGCAGCTCCTACACGGAGACATAGAGCAACTGAGGCGGGAGTACATGGTCCTCTTCACCCGGGGCGTGTCCATCACCAGGAAGCTGGGCTTCTCTGATGTCATCATGCCAGGTAGGACGCCACCGCTCACACAGACATTTTACACTGAACATCAAACGCTTAATAAGCTACTTTCATCCCTTGTAGGTTAAAAAATGAGTGCGAGGCCGATTAATCTATCAAATTATATTTTTTCCCTACCCAATGGTCCATGCGCTCACAATTAAAATGACTCCCTCCCTGTGTCATGTGCTATCCAGCAGGAATTAAAACATTAAGAAAGATGTCGTTACAAAGTACATTTAACAAGACATCCTTATTTATCAGTCAGTTAATCCTGTAACCAGTTCAGCATTTTTAACATATTCATATTTGCTGCCGTGTGGACTTATTGGAGGGCTTTTTTATTTTTCTGCACATCAAGAGATGGCTGTAGCATTTTATGTTTTTTGTCTTTTTCTGCTCGCAAATGATTGGCTTCACGATTTGTCCCCGCATCCATCCATCCATCCGCTCCTTAAAACGCCGATCATTTGAAGGCTCCGACAGCCTGCGCACGCCACTTTTTAGGTCGAGGGGCCGCCGGGGAGCAAAAAAAAACAGAGCGATAGATTAAACATTCACAGTCATGGTGTTTTTGTGCTGTCTGAGAAAAAGGAGAGATGCAAACAGGCAGCTCCCTACAGGGAAGTCAAGCCTGACAGAAAAAAACTGACTGAGAGACAAATGAAGAACTCGCTATTTGTTATTTAGAGGTTTTATCTGCTGAGCCAGTGCCTGTTACTTCTTATTTCTACCCTTAATGCACCGTCTTTGTTCATTACATTGGAAACACTCGATGTCAGTATTTGTGGCTTGACATTTCTCCAGAACACAAACGTTCCGATGTCTTTCCTGTTTTATTTTACACTCTACAACTTGGCCCGGCCCCATTCAAGTCATCTTGTTTGCACTTTATATCCACCTCTTGCATAAGTGAGCGGAATTTGAATTCCACCTGAGGAAGCCCTCAGGAAAGATGCAATATTCAGGCGTCTCGGAGACGGGCAACCCTCCGTTTGTCGTTTGTCTAAGTGACACGAGCCCCCGCGGAGCCCCTCGGGCTCAGCTGGATGGAGGCTTGTTGCCAAGGTAACGAAGTGCTTGAACGTAACGCGTTCGGAGGGGAAAGTTCTGTTCGATTCGCGCTCGGGCTTCCATTCAGGAGGAGAAACGGGCCGCTACATGGGATAGGAATGCTGTCTGGTCGGGCAGATAAAGAGGAACCACAGACCGCTCCACCCTCGTGCCTCGCTCACTCAGATTTATGCTCGCCATCTCTTTCTTTGTCTCTGTCTGGCTGCTGCTCCTTCCCACTGAGTGCTCTCAGCCTCTCTGCTTTTGTAATTTCCCCCCCCGGGCAAAGGAAGCTGCGTCTCCCTCTTCTTCATGTCCTCCTATTCTAGATTACTATCTGAGTGTGTGCTTTTTTTTTATCGTCTTTCGAGCTAACGCTCTTATTTTTCCGTCCGGTTTCACAGAAATGCACATAAAATATCGTTTTTTAACAGAGACGATGTCTGATGCAGGTTCCTCTTTATTACCCAGCATGCTTTGCTCTATTCTACATCACCTGCAGAGGAAAATAAATGTGCCTGTCTGAGTCCTTTATTGTCTTTAGCAGATTTTAGCTTTAGGTGGTGGGCTGCTTTTTCCTATATAGCTCAAACTCGGTTAGATCAAAATATGATATTATCAAGAAATATGCTGATGTCAGCTGAATATACTCACATTTCTTATTTTTTTGTCCCTGTTTTTCTCAGTTGGATAACAAAGAGAACACACAAGTTGAATCGAGATGCGATTTCATTTGGTATTTTTTTGGTTTTAGGGACTAAACGCGAGGAAATTTCTCGCTTTTTCTCGCTTTTTCTCTCCAGTCTGGTTGTTATTTGACCTTTGTTGTACTCCTCATCAGAGTCTCGGCGGAGGATTGATGTGGCATGTGCAAATGTCCTCACCGAGACTTTTTTTCCTGTTTATTAAAACTGACTGTGGTCTGAACGTGCTCCTAGCCACACTCGAATGCCATTGCTCAGGGCTCGGTTTCATGTCAGAAAAATCATTTAGACTCTAATGCGGATGCTGCCCGCTCCTGCTGTGATGAATTACACCAGAAAAAAAAAAAAACCCCAGCAGAGCGCTCATTAAAAATGCCGGCTCATATGCATAATCAATGCATTTTGCCTGTTTGGCTTCGTTTTTTTCCCGCAGGAGAGATGAGGAACGACCTCTACGTTACCCTGGATAAAGGGGAGTTTGAGAAAGGTGGAAAGAGCGTGGCGCGGAACGTGGAAATAACCGTCTACGTGCTGGACATCGATGGCCAAATCCTCAAGGTAAACGTATTTTAAAAAAATCTCTTTTCTCCTTTAGGTTTGGGAGCTCTTTCAGTTGTAAACGCTTCACTTAAACATGGCTGACCCAGATGGGAGCCGAGTCTCTTCTGTGTGCTGCGCGTTTCTGGTTCAGAAATTCGACGGTCTGCCTCTGTGGTTTCCTGCTCTGCCTCAAACACCCCCCCCCCCCCAGTCAAATATATCCCTGCTGCCACCGCATGGCATGCGGCCCTCTCAGCCCCGGACGCAAAACCGTGCCTTCTCTTTTTTTTTGTTTTGCTCGTCTCCTTTTCCGCCTGACGCGTTTATCGGTCCTCTCTTTTTCAGAGTCACGTGGCGGCCGGCTCGGGCGAGCCCGGCGGGGACGAGTACCACTCCCTGGTGCTGTACCACAACAACAGCCCCCGCTGGGCGGAGCAGATCAAGCTGCCCATCCCCGTGGACATGTTCCGGGGATCCCACGTGCGCTTCGAGTTCCGACACTGCTCCAGTGAGTCAGGACGCTTGTTGCTTTCCAGCCTTTTGCCTGCTTTTGGGGAAAAATAAGCAAACGGGCTTTACCAATCCGTCATGCCTCCTTCACGCAAAAACATGGGGGGGTGTGGCTCCATTTACAAGAGCTGACTAATCAGTGATTAGCTCCACAGGTGATTGACAGCCACCTTCCCACCTCCTCAAACCAGACTGTTTGCTATCTGCAAAAGCGCTCCAGTTAGCCCACCTTACGAATTAAAACAGGGCTTTAATTATGTGCAAAATGTTCCTCTCAGCTACAGAGATCCAGCAGTATCTCGTCTCTCTTAACAAACCGATATTATGATTGCCGAGCCGCGAGGCTGTGCAGCTGCTGTGGTAGCCTTATTACTGCCGGCAGGGCTAGTATTGCCACCTAAGGGCTGCCTGTTAAGGTCCCAATTTAGGCCCTTGGTGACACCAAACTGAAGAGGCGAGATAACAAGCCCTAAAGCTCCCAACCCCTTTGGGCACAGCGCCTCAGCAGATACTCTCATTTTCAATTAGGACCAAGCAGAAAGTTCACGTTTCACTAAATTTGTTTTTTAAATGTTATCTTACTTTTGGACCCATTAGGCGCTGTAAATTGGAGTTGTTAATTCGTCATGGGGACCCCGGCGCTGCTCTAAATGGCCCTAAAGGGAACGGAGGGATCTGTCTTCTATAAAGTGGAAATGTTTGCTGAGAGGTTTTTTTTTTTTAATTTTCTCCTTCCACAACATTTGGAGGCAGGCCTCCTCTGGGGTTGGAGTTAGCGTTAAGCTAAAGTGCAAAAACTGAAGCATGATTTAACAGCTCGCAGAGGGACTGTTTAACAGCTATAAGTCGAAGTCCTAGTATTTATGGGGAAAATGGCTTCTTCTGCTGTGCTCTCCGTTGCCTCAGGTGTTGTAATTTGGTTCATTGTTCTGTTGCATCACCCGATTTTAGCTTTAAACAACCAAGCTTTTAGCTGGCAGACTCGGCTAATCCCGCATTTCACACCCTTCAACTTAGCCTGTCTTCATCTCTCGCTCGAGGCTTCTGAGATTTCTAGACATTTTCATGAAAATGTGTTATTTGTTCTTGCTGTTTTGTTTGCTTCCTTTGCTTTTTACATTTTTTTAGACTCAGTATCAGGTCCGTGTGTTGTTGTTTGACAGCTAAAGACAAAGGAGAGAAGAAACTGTTTGGGTACTCCTTTGTTCCTCTGATGCAGGAGGATGGCAGGACTCTGCCAGATGGCACCCATGAGCTCATTATCCATAAGGTAACAACTCCGAGCCCCCGTCGGCGAGACTTTGCACAAGCAACATGAAATCAAACGGATTGTGTCCTTGGCGGGATCTCTGTTTGCACGCGCGCTGTTCTGACTTTCTGCTGCAAAAAATCAGCTCCAAGTTTCTCCCCTTAATTCAGAAATGGCAGCTTTCACATTCTCCAAACTGAACCCGCTCGCTTGTTTTGAACTGCACAGGTGTTGCCATGGAAACATTAAAGGGTATTACACCCTCTATATGATTATGTGAATCATTCCCCTCCAAATAGAAAAATGCTCTCATCCATCTTATCGTACTGTTTAGTGCCACTGGCTGACAAACAGCTCACATCTCTCCATTATGGGCTGACAGACTGTGACTAATGCCCTCTTATGCAATGCTCTGAGGTTGAATCTGACCACGGGTTTTTTTTTTCCTCAGCTGCAGGCCACGGGAGTGTAAATAAACCTCCGTTTTTTTTGTGCAGAACAGAAAAAAAAAAAAACGGCACACATTTGAATTAAATAACTAAAAACTCTTTTTTTTCCCCCCTCTCCATTCGTCCCCACGAGTGGCCCGAAACCTGTGTCTGCCACTTTTAAGAGGACAGCTTTCTTAGATTTGTCTGTTCCCACCGGCAAAGGGGGTAAAGACCCATTGTAATGCCAGCTGGAGAGTTGCTGACAAGCTCAATGAAGCTGGCATGCCCTAGTTTCTCCTCAGACCCGAAATAGACTCTGAAGAATCAGTCCAAACTGTGTGGAGTTTTGGATCTCAAGCAGCCTCAGCTGTGCACTACATCAAGGCAGAATTTTAAATCCATCACAAACACCCAAAGACTTCATAGCTGTACTTTTACCATCAGGCGGAGTATTCAGCTAAAATAAAGGTTTAAGCTGCTGCTGGTTCAGGTTTATTACATAAAATCCACTCAGATCCACACTTTATGAAAAAGACCTGGCATTTCTACCACTAAGCAATCACAAAAATGCAAATGTAATGGCATTTTCTGCTATCCGGTCTGTAACATATGTGTTTTTCTGTGTTATTCCTGTGTTTGGTGCTCTCCAGTGTGAGGAAAACACCCTCTTGACTGACTGTTCGCGGTACCTGAAGCTCCCGTTCTCCAAGGCCAACCTCCCGTCCAACAATCAGACGCTAAAGGGCACCAAGGAGTCTTTCTGGATAACCAGCTTCCTCTGCTCCACCAAGCTCACGCAGAATGGTAAACTGGACTCAGGCGTTAGGATTGTGGTCCGTTCAGGTGTTCTGGCAGCCACGCAGAAAAAGATCTGCTAGTATCGATTGTCAGTCATCATGCTAGTAGTAAACCTCATCTAAACATCTAAGAGACTTCTTCTGTTCCTTCCATTACATTTAATAATCATTCAATTACACCAAAGCTTGGAATCATGGAATATTTGTACTACTATAAGAGTAAGTTAGACAGCAAGTAAATCAGCCTGGAGAGTGTAAAGAGGAACACGAGGAAAAATGTGTACATTTGAGTATTTTTCCATTTCTCTGTCAGACCCTTTTAGCCTTTTATGATACATATGTACATTAGAGACATGTTTTTGGACAGACGCTGTAATGTCTACGCTCAAACAAATTGTGGGGACTGAAGAAACGACTAAGAGATTTTCCTCGGGAGGCTCATGTTTAATGCATGGATTTGTCTGGGGATTCATGCTCTCTCTCCTGTTTCGACTCATTTCGGGGGTAGCTTTCCTTCTCGTCTGTGTTTTTTTTTTTTTAAACTGCTTCTTCTGGCTGTCCTCCTCTAGGGGAGATGTTGGACCTACTGAAGTGGCGAGCCCACCCTGAGAGGATCAACGACAGCCTCTCCAAGCTCAAAGAGATCGACGGCTCAGAGATTGTGAAAGTAGGCCCCGCCGTCTGCCTCCATTTCGCTCCAGCTTATCTGAAATTTGATTAAACTCACTTTTGTCCTGCTCCTTTTCTCACCAGTTTCTTCAGGACACCTTGGACACTCTCTTCGGTATTTTGGATGAAAGCTCCCAGAGATACGGGCTCAAGGTGTTTGATTCACTGGTAAGAGCTCCTCTCTCACAATAAGGGCCGTTTCCACGGGTCTTTTTTTTTCCGCTTTATTTTCCCGGCACACGGAGAGCCTCTCTTTGCGTCGGAGGATCAAGTGATGTAACGCTTCACAGCTTGCTGAACCAATCCCGTCCTGGTCATGCTGCACTGAGCCGATGCCAGAGATTGATCCTTTTTTTCCCTTCTCTTCTCTGTCTGTGCATCAGCCTCCTGCTGGCAGATAAACAGACTTTTCTCTGCTCGGCACGGTTGAGAGGGTCTGCTGAGCACGCGCTCTTATTAAGTTTGGTTTTGCGGCTTTTCGAGATCAATCCAAGAAGTTCGACAAGTTGACTCTGTGGATATTCTGTGGTTCGGCACAATTCGGTCACGGAAAGTCACATCCATGTGGAATCACTGTCAAAACGGAGGTTTTAATCTGCTTTATTGGAATCATATTGGCCGTTTTATACAATTTTAGAATATCTATCCTCACATTCCTCTTTCCAAATACCTCCTGTCGTGTCTTTTTTCTCTTAAATCTATCTGAAATATGATGATATGCTTAAGAATCGGTGCGACATAAATTGAAATGTGTGAGAAGCTCTGATAGCTGGCAGCCTCCGAATGTATTCAAGCCAAGCAAACCTTTACAAAACGCTGTCAGTTTGTTCTTTCTCATGTTTCCTGTCAATCTCCACTATTATCTAATAAAGCTTAGACATTTACAATAAAAAACAAACATTCAAAGACAGAATTTAATCCCTGCGATGGAGTAAAAACAGACATTTAAAAACAGACAGGCTTGATTTTCAGGATGTCACTGAGCCGATACGCAGTGTAAATGTGTCACACAGTGGGGAAATCGGGCTATTTTGACGACCAAAAAAAGCCCCTTTGGGCTAAAACTGTGTCTGAATGAACATCTGATCGCTTTCGTGATGCTAAAACTCCGTTTTGAATGCGTCTCCTCTGCTTGTCCGTAGGTTCATATCATCAACCTCCTCCAGGACAGCAAATTCCAACACTTCAAACCAGTCATGGACACGTACATCGAGGGCCACTTTGCCGGAGCGTTGTCCTACAGGTGTGCATGCCCACACATCGTGTTGTTGTACGCTTTTACAGGATGATGCAGGAGGGAGTCTGGAGGGATCGACGTGCTTATGGCGCCCCCTGCTGGACGCGTGGAGAACTCAGCCTTTTCTTTCCCTCCTCAACACACTCACACTCACACACAGACACTGACACATTTTTAATTGGCTGTCTGCTTTATGCCTCCGTAACTGTGAGGATTTTTTTTCTCCGCTCCACCTGTTTTAAACTGTCTTACCTGTGATATCTTTCCATCGCGAGAATCTCATTTTAATTAGATCACACCGCATCCAGAAGGGTTTTTACTTTTTTTTCCATTTTTTATTGTGAAGTGACATCCAGTCTAGATTAGAATAAAAAAAAATCCCTAATTTGTTATCACAGTTTTTATGGTGGGTCTCCGTCTGGAAGAAGATGCCTTCAGCCTTTCAATCCAGACTGTATAACGTAATTATGGTTCACCGTTTGTGCATTCCCGGTCTTTCTGCCCTCAGTTTCAGCCTTTAGCTCGGCTCTGTTGACGAAATAAGTGCAATAATGTCATCTGAGCTTGATCCGCTCACCGCCGTGTTGCCTTCTTTAAACCCAGAGTTGCCTCATCGACTGTGGGTTTTTTATTTTTTTTCTGCTGGAGCTGGAGAGGTGATGCAGCTCAGGCTGTTGATGCCGTGTATGTGTGTGTGTGTGTGTGTGTGTGTGTGTCTGTGTGTGTGTGTGTGCTCTAGGGACCTGATCAAAGTACTGAAGTGGTACGTGGACCGCATCGTTGATGCCGAGCATCAGGATCACATACAGCAGGTGCTCAAGGTGAGGCAACCCCGGCTTTGTTTCCACGCTCAAACCCCCCCCCTGCGTTCACACACACGGGCGCCCAATCCTTCCAGAAAATGTTGGGGCCCTGTCTGAGTGAATATGTAAAGCGCCCCCTCCTCTATCTATCACGCCGCATGCAGTTTTAATCAGCGGAAACACACGGCCTCGGGTGCTGGGAATCCTCCACCTCCACCATTCGGAGCACAATTAAGCGCCTGTCTTTAATAAATGATGCAGGTGTTTGCTTCTCCTCCTCGGTGAGTGACTTTACCCTTTGTCCCGCAGGCCAGCGAGTACATCTTCAAGTACATCGTCCAGTCCCGCCGGCTCTTCTCTCTGGCCACGGGGGGCCAGAACGAGGAGGAGTTCAGGGTCTGCATCCACGAGCTCTTCATGTCCATCCGCTTCTTCCTCTCCCAGGAGAACAAAGGCATCAGCCCGGTGGCCCAGACGCAGGTGTGTGTGCGTGTGTGTGTGTGCGTGTGTGTGTGTGCGTGTGTGTGTGTGCGTGTGTGTGTGTGTGTGTGGGGAGGCTCTGCAGAACGCCGTTCGCTGCTTGGTGCTCCATGTTGTGTGTTTTCTTTGTGGAGGGACTGTTAATGCACTTGTGATGGAGGCGTGGGGGGGGGGGGGGGGGGGGGGGGAATTGGCTGTAATTGAATTTCCCGCTGCCCGGGGGCTCTGGAGACGGAGCTGGAATTTCTGTGACAGCTTTGGCTTTGGCGGTGGGAGGTCGGCGCGGCGGGGGCGGCCGCCGCCTACAGCCGATCCCAAAACAAACAAGCTAAAGATGCCAGAGATAATCCCAATTTACAACCCCGGGAACAGATGCTGGGGTGGCTGTGTCGTTGTGTACTCGTGCCAGGAAATACCATCGTAGTTTTCCCCCCCCTATTTCTTTCGACGAGCATAAATCACCTCCGTAGCTAACGGCCTGTCGGGAAGAGTTCTGCAAACGACCGGAGTAATCCTGATAGAATCAGTCAGCTCCATCCAGCTGTGCCCCGTCCACGCCGCTCCGAGGAGCTCAGTTTCATTCCTCCACTGACTCCTGATCTGGATTAATCTGAATTCTCAACACAACAATAACCGTGGGAGGAGGCAGGTCAGGCTGCTGTTAATCCCAGTTAAGCCCTCGACTGCCCAGCGTCCATTAAAACCTTCACACATGAGCAGCACGGCGAGATAATTACAGAATTCGGCCACACAGGGAATCATATAATTGTTGTTTTGCACGTTGGAGAACAGAGCAGGCTTTTTGGAATTGTATTTCCTTTAATTATTGTTGTTATTATGAACATTTTTGCCGTTTCTTTTCTGGTTTTTCACTTTAAAAAAAAAACAGATTGAGACAAAATGTAGCTTCCTGGTGAAATGTGGGTTAAAAGAAGCTTTGGAAAGCTTCCAATTTCCGCCAACTTCCTTTTTTTTTAGCTGTGGGAAAAGAAACTGACGGGGAAAAGACAGCATCTGACAGCAAACTGCAAACAAGTGAGGGACAGCAGTCCTTGGGTGTAATCCACAAGTGACACCTGGAGTTCCATCCAAGCCTCGACAAGCCCAAAGCTCTGTCCACACTTAGCTTTCCCATAAAAAAAACAGATTCTTGTTTAATTAATGCCTGTTGTCCTCCATTATTTCCACGGTCAGCGGGTCATCAGCAGTGGCTGTGTGAAAACTGCTCGCATGTATTTCAGATGAGATGTGGAAAGCTCTCCAGGGTCAGACATCAACACCTCACCCTCCTTCTCTCTTTCTGTGCTCAGGCTGTGTTCCTGCGGACGTTCCCGGCCATCTATGGCGAGCTGCTGAAGATCTTCACGGTGCGGGAGGTGGCCGGCTTCGTCCGGGAGACGCTGGCCAGCCTTCCCGCCGCCGTCCACCCCGACAGCCCCCTGGAGGCCGTCAAGCTGCAGTGCATCTCCAAGACGGTCGAGAGCCAGCTTTACGTCAACCCAGGTGACGTACCCGTGCCGGCATGTGGACGAAAACGCGGAGATTTGTGAGAAAAAACTGAGCTGAAATGTGTATTTCTGCACAAAATGCTGGAGATTTTAAGACCGTGCTGTTTGATAGATATTTGATGGCACATATCAGCTTCAGTGGATGGAAATGCATTAAATTGCTCTCTAAAATGACCATGTCTGCGTTTGATTTCCTGCATGTAGCATCCCTCATGCCAGCCACACGAATGCCTCTGGTGGCTCGAATTAGCCATGTTAATTAAGCCCAAGCATTCCCTCTAACGCGCGAGATTTTCTTTTGTGTTGCAGAATCCCGATGCGTGCTGCTGCCCGTGGTGCTCCGGGTCCTCCAGACCCACATGCAGGAGCAGAGGGACCTGGTCATGTGTGCCCGCATCCTCACCAGCATGCTGTCCCTCATAAAGAAGGAGGAGAGCAGCACCCCGGTGGGCATCACTCTTTACGGCCTTTCCATTTTCGACAGAACTTTGAGGAGTGTCAGGCATACTGGAACGAGTCTTATGCTAGCTTCTCTGGCAAAACCTTGCAGCGGCAGATTGCTTTGTTTTCCGTATACAGTCAATTAGTCTTGGGAACGAGGACACTGGCAGGTGCGTGGTCCGCTAATGAGACCCATCCATTTACCGACGGGGATGGTTCCGGCCGACTTTGAGCCGCGCCCGCCTGATTTATGTGCGCGCTGACGTCGGCTGGCTAGGGAAAGGCTTCTGGAAAGACGCACCAAACAGACCCAGCCAGCACAGATTGGCACCAGACTTAAAGGGAGGTGACAGCAGCGGCGGCCACTGAGCCATTGAGACTCCTCCTTATTATCACTCTTTCCAAGACCTGTCTGTTTCGTCAGGGGGAGAGACTACAGGGACTCACACGCATCTCCACGCGCACAAACTTCCACCGCTCTCCACTCTGAGCTGCTTTTAATCTTCAGCCGTCTCTCTTGGCTCTGCGTTCTGCCGTCTTTTCTATTCTCGGCTCCTTTGTGAAGTCTCATGGTTTCGGCATGTACGGCAAAGCCCCAAAACTTAGTTCCCTTTCCGGTTCATTAAGGATGGAATTAAAGCCAGATTAAAAATAGACTCTCGTGGCAGCGGTTACACACTTGGATCTTAGGTTGATTCACATTTTTTGGCAAAAAAACATCTAAATGTGCACTTTATAACTTATAACTTATCGCAAACCTTGAAAATATTCCAGGTCTTCTGACTTTTCATCTTAAAAAAGCTACTGATTATTTGGCTGACTGCATCCTCAAACTTTTTTTCCTTGTTTTAACTGTATCTCAGCTCTAAGTTTGAGTTTTCTCTGTTGTGTAGGAGCCGGCTGTTTCTGAGGAAGTGGAGCTAATTGTGGAGAGCCTTCTGGTCGTTTTGCTGAGGACCATCCTGGAAATTAGCAACCGGCCCCAACCTGCTGGACCCACCATGAGGCTGCAGTTCCAGGATGTGACTGTATGTGTTTTTAGCTGTGTGCGTCAGTCTGTGCTGGTGTGAGTTTGTGTGGAAGGGGTTTAATACCGAATTGTGGCCGGGCCAAGTATGATTCAATGAACAATATTGATGTAACTGGCAGTGATTGTGATTTACTGTACAGCACAGCGGGGGAGAGGAGATGTAAGTCGGATAATAATGAGATTGTGATGATGGAAGCACAGATATAAGTGGCTGATTTTTCCATTTGTCATTGACTTCTGCTGTTGCTGCTGCAGTTTTCATCAGTTTCCATTTGCATAATCAGGTTTTGTAGATAAAAAAAAAGTATGGCCTTATTTTCTGTATCCTGAGTCAGAGATATGAACGGCTTCTCTTAACAAACAGAATGTAAACAAAAATCTGATGTTTTTAACAGCTGTAGTGGGTCTTTAGATGCACTAAGAGGTAAATAAGCAACCTCCTACTCGTCTATTTTTTAATTCTCCTCCTGTCCTGTTGTTTTTTTCCTGTCAGGGAGAGTTTGTAGCGTGTTTGCTGGCGCTCCTGCGGCAGATGAGCGACAGACACTACCAGCAGCTGCTGCAGGCCTACAGCAGCAAAGACGACCTGAGGGTGAGCCAGCCTCTGGCCTCCGCCTCTCTCCCCATTCTCTCACTATTTGCATTTCATCTGGAGTCAAAATGAAGAAAAAAAAAGAATAAAAATATGCAAAAGTTGTTTTTTGATGTTTGGATCCAAGCAAATTTTGACCTTAATTTCCAGAAAAACTATTTGCATTTCATCTGGAGTCAAAATGAAGAAAAAAAGAATAAAAATATGCAAAAGTTGTTTTTTGATGTTTGGATCCAAGCAAAATTTGACCTTAATTTCCAGAAAATGTCACGGTGCCCAATATTTCAGCACCTTGGACAGCGACACGCACCTGGTTACACTTTCTTTGCGGTCATGTGGACAAAGCTAAAGCCACTCAGGGCGGATGAGTTTTCATGCACTCTGTGTATGCACACTGACCCAGAAACATGCTCAAAACTTTCAAAAATGGGCCCAACAAATATTGCTTTAAAGTGCCTCTATAACGATTCTATTTATTCATTTGTATTAATGTGCAAACGAGCAAAGATCTTTACCAAATTTCTTCTTCTTGTGAAATGTAATAGTGATCATTTGAATGGACGTCTAAACTCGTGGATCTCTGTTGCAGGACTTCCTCCTTCACATCTTCACAGTCTTCAGGATCCTGATAAGACCAGAGATGTTTCCTAAAGACTGGACTGTCATGCGGCTGGTCACGAACAAGTATGACGCCTGGCCTTAAAGATACATAAACAAGGAAATCCCATAAAAATGAGAAAGAACTCTAACCCATTAAAAAAGTATGGTCCGTTTGACATATAAATGCTAAACCAGCCATACTGGTTACATAAGTCTTAAAAATAGAAACATCCCTAACCTTTATCCTTTTCCTGGAAAAAAGTGTACCATTACCTAAGAACATAGAAGGCTGGAGGTAACGGTTTGCTCTTTGTGAAGAAGCCCTGTAAATATTTGTCTGTATTTTGTCGCTCATTTCCAGTTGTGTCTCCTTCTTCTTCCGCCAGTGTCATCATCACCACTGTCCTCTACCTTTCTGATGCGTTGAGGAAAAACTTCCTCGGTGACAAGTTTGACTACAAGGTGTGACCCTGATTCCGGTCGGATTTAAAACGGGTTCTGGCTTTATTTAGCCTCTATTCAAAGGCCTGGACTCACGTAAAGGTTTTTTTTCTCCTTTCCAGGTGTGGGACTCGTATTTCTATCTGTCGGTGATATTCATCAACCAGCCTTGTCTCCAGCTGGAGTCCTTCTCTCCCTCCAAGAGGAAGAGGATACTGGAAAAGTGAGTTGCCAGTTTTGGGCTGGGCATTCTTTCTTCTCACACGCTCCCCAGGACAGTTTGTGAGTACGCTGGTGTTTCCTCGTGCAGGTACGGAGACATGAGGGTGATGATGGGCTGCGAGATCTTCAGCATGTGGCAGAACTTAGGTAAGACAGGATTTTGTCTGAATCTACTTCCCTGCTGGCGATTTTTGCTTTTCAGCTATAAGTACGGACTTCGTGAAGTTTTTGGGAAACAAAAGCATTAAAGGGCTCTTTTTCCTGTGTAACTAAAGCTATTTGTCTCCATAGCAACAAAATCGATGCCCACAATCTCCTTTGTGCAATTGACTTTGTTCCTCTTGGAACCTTTGATTGTTCCAAGTTGGTGTTTATTAAAAATAACGACTGCGTTTAGGAGTATTTTCGGACATTTTGATGTACTTCTGAAGCTTCTTTTTTTTTTTTTTTTTGTCTGTAAACTGCACTGTTCTTGAAACGGCTTTGAGTTCAGGGGAATTAGCCCGGCCGATTTCACTGAGGGAGCCCTGCTTCCCAAAGAGCCTCGGATTGCCTCTGACATACGATTTTAACTGCGTTCAGGCATGCAATGAAAGTCCGACCTCTGTGTCAAACCGTGTCTCCACTCCAGGGGAGCATAAGCTCAACTTCATTCCGGCCATGATTGGGCCCTTCCTGGAGGTCACCCTGGTGCCTCAACCTGATTTGAGGAATGTCATGATCCCCATCTTCCATGACATGATGGACTGGGAGCAGAGACGCAGTGGGAATTTTAAACAGGTGAGCTTTACCTCCTACCAGCTGTTAAATGAAATTTCAGGTTTTAATTTACATATAAATCAAATCAGGACTAAGCAGGACTGCTTTAACTAACTGTTATATGATTTAAGCCTTTAGGTGTCAACGGTTGTGTAGAAAATTTTGCTTAAAGTGAATAAAATGCAGCCCGATTGGTTCGAGGTTACACGAATTGGGGAATTGGACCTTTTAAGAGTTACTTGAACCCGTTCAGAACGCAGCTAACTGAGCACTGGAGGATGGAGTTCTGTTTTAAAGAGCCACAGTCTGAGCTTTAGACCTGTAGAAACCACACGCCTTGTTTAACCTCATTTAAATCCTGACGTTTCTGAATAGCAGACTCTGACAGGCGTCCCTCAGCTCGGAGCTCCGAATAATCTCTGCAAAACGCCTTTTCCCGTGCAGGTGGAGGCCAAGCTGATTGACAAGCTGGACAGCCTGATGTCGGAAGGCAAGGGGGACGAGACGTACAGGGAGCTCTTCAACAGCATGTGAGTGAAAGAAGGAACGGGTAAACACGGAGATGGCGAAGAATAACAGAACGGTTTCAACTCTCAAAAGTGTGTTCAATAATTTAGCCCCCCGAAAGCCCACGGGCTCTCTGGTAATTGCTTTCCAGAGGTAGGTTTGCGATACGGGCAGAGCCGGACAGCCACAGTGGCTGTTTATTGAGTCTGGTGACCTGAATTAAGCGGCCCACGCAGGGCCTGGGCGGGTAATTACTGCGTGGGCTGCCATTCACAGGTCGCCTAGCCCTGAAAAGGCTCTTTAGATGTGAAAGTTTGGTGCTTTTACCTAAACCTAGTTAAAAGAAGGTCAAGAACGTATTATCAGGCTTTTTTATCGGTTGTAAAAATGCATAATGAGGAGCTGTTTATCTGGAAATGATGCATGCCGAGTAGATAACAATGTAATAACATAATGAGAGGTAAGTCCATGGATATTCAGTCACTTTCATCATCTCCACTCACCTCATTCTGTCCCCGTGTTTCTAGATTTGTGTTACTGCATGTGTATGTGTGTGTGTGTGGGTTCGCGTACCCGTACCCTTGTGTTTCTCTTTTTGTGGATGCTTTTCATCGTTTTTTAATGTCGCCCTTAAATGTGGACTGCAGCATTTGGACTCTCAAACCACACTAAAGAGAATTATTGCATTTATAGTCGCCCATCCCGGATGTATTTGCTCGTCCTCACAGTGTGTCTCTCTTCTGGGCGTAGCTGTAAATAAAGTGTGATCTTGATAATACTTTTATCAATACGCATCTGCTTTAATTGTCCCCTTTTCTTTCAAAAGTGAATCATTCTGTCTCCCACCATTTTTCTGTGTGAGGCATCACAGAGTAGCTCATCATCGCTGCATAGTAGTGAATTAAGACGATTATACCTCATCATTATTCCACTGTATAGCATAATTATGCATTGGGGATGGTTATTATTAAGCAGGCTAATGTGCACTGGAAGTTTATGCCATTTTACGTTTCAACGGCAGCCTATTTAATTATATTTTGCTTTCTGTAGTCTTTTCTATGAGTTTCCTGCTGACTAACTCCACTAACCCCTGGACTGACGTGTGTGAGTGTGTGCTGATTTTAATCATGTTAATATTAATTTATTCCGCCTATGCTTCCCGCCTGGAGTAGAATTCCTCTGTTTGGTCCGTACCCTAGGTAAGACGCTCTCCTGTTTGTTCTCTGTGTCGTCTGTGTGAGGGGAAACGGGGAACGGTGTATTTCAGCCCAAAACCGGCCGCTTCACTTAACCAATCAGCTCTAAAAGTCAAACTAGACGGCAAAAAAAAAGTCGCCGGGAATCTTTTTCTTGAACTCCAGAAGGCAGGCCAAAAAAAGCATAGGTGATAGTGGCATGACTGAGATTGATTTCCTCTTTGTTTTGCCTCCTTTTCTTTTTTCCGAGTAGTTTCTTCCATTACCGTTCCGTTCCTCATTCTCTGTGTGAGCTGCCGTCTCCTCGGGCCCTCACATCCGTCTGTCTCGTTTGGTCTCTCTCCGTTTGTCCCGCAGCCTGCTGAAGAAGATCGAGCGGGAGACCTGGAGGGAGAGCGGGATCTCTCTGATCGCCACTGTCACTCGCCTCATGGAGAGGCTGCTGGACTACAGGTAGGAGTCTTTTCTGTCCCTCTTCTTTCTTTTTTTACCCTTTGCATATCGTGCCATCTTCTTCCTTCTTTGTCCGTGCAGAGATTGTATGAAGCTGGGGGAGGTGGATGGCAAAAAGATTGGCTGCACTGTCAGTTTGTTGGTAAGTTTGATTCGTTTAAGTCGAAGCTTAATACTTTTTCACATACCGTCTGCTTCTGATGCAATTGATTAGAGTTTAGATCCATTAAACGCCTCCAAAACAGGCCGACAGCGAATTCTCCAATTTGCATTTGTTACGAAATGCCTCACATTTATGTAATCGGTTGTTTTGAGCACAGGCTGCGAGGCTGCTAATAAACACTAAAAGTGTGAAGTGAGCCAGAGGAGCTGACAGCGACCAGCTGCTAAAGAGCCCAGCTGAAAGTCAGCGGCCATTAGTGGATTATGACTATTCTCATGTAATATAGCCAGAGCTTCTCGTCCAAAAACAAGTCAGCGGTGCAGTTCCCCGTGTCCGACCCAGCTAACCTTCCACGTTTAAGGTCAATTTCATGCTTTTGTCAAACAAACTGTGGAGACAAGTGAGAATATTAGAATGTCGTTGAGCCTTAGGGTAATTTATTCATCGATTCATGTTAAAAAGCCTGAAAAAGGTTCAGTTTTCACTGGTTTTGACTGGTTAGTTCTTTGGGTGGGACTCTTTTCAAATGGGTACTAGATGTTTGATAAAACTGAATACGAACGGGAAACCCTCCAGCATTGATGGCTTACCTTTATTTAGTTAGATTAGCTATTACTTCTATCCTTTGAATATATCTGCTCTTTAGTTGCTAAACTTTATTATTGCACTGAAGAAAAATGGGACTTTTCAAAAAGACTGCCTATTTCTCCTCTGAATGAATAAAAAAATTTAGAAATGCAGCTTTTCATTCATTACAAATACAAAACAATTAGACATTTATCAGTTTTCTATACAGTCTGAAGAGGGGAAAAGGGCTCATTGTGTTCCTAAAACGCGAGGCATTTCGTAAAGTTCGAACAGTGGAGGATTCATTCGTGAGCAGTAATATTTCTCCCTGCTCAGGGACATGCAAACTGTGTGCTGAGGGCTTTAACTGGCGAGGCTGCGGCCTTCTGCTCTGCGATATGTGGGCATTTGGAGAAGTCCCCGCAGATCCGCAGCTGAAAGCTGAGCGTTGTCGTTCTGTCTCCGCTAAAGAGCAGCCTGTCACTTCTAACCGCTCTGCCCTTTTACACGGCCTGAACTCCTAATTTGTGTCATAAATCTCTACACCCCCTCTCTGTCGACGATCCACCTGCTGCTGTCAGAACTTCTACAAAACCGAGCTGAACAAGGAGGAAATGTACATCCGCTACATCCACAAACTGTACGACCTGCACCTGAAAGCCCAAAACTACACAGGTACGCCCACAGGAGGGCGCTCTTTTCCACTCGTTCTTCATATTTGACCATTTTGTTCCTGCTTCGTCACTCATAAGGTTAAATATGAGTGATTATTCTCATAAATGCCCCACCCTCTGCTCCTCTAATGTGTTTCTGTGTGTGTCTGTGTGTGTCTGTTGTGCGACAGAGGCGTCCTACACCCTCCTGCTCTACGACGAGTTGTTGGAGTGGTCAGACAGGCCCCTCCGAGAGTTCCTCAACTACCCCATGCAGAGCGAGTGGCAGAGAAAAGAGTATCTGCACCTCACTATCATCCAGAACTTTGACCGGGGCAAGGTGAGGAGCTCCGCTCTCTGTAACCTGTTCATCGAGTTTGCATTTTAATCGCCAAAATGATCCAAACAAGCCGGCTATGTTCAGAGAAACGACAGACTTAATCCGAACGAGGGCCTGTTTGTGCACAAAACTAGACAGGCTCAATTTTATTACTGTAACCGAAGCATAGATGCTCCATTCTCCACAAAGAATGGTAGATTTAATCAGACTATGTACTAATTCAGGGCTTATAAAAGCCAACTATCTTCCTCACTACTCCTAATGGAAAGTTTTTGAGAGATGAGGGCCGTGTCAGATTTGTCAGCTGAGGTGTGACGCGCATCGATTCGTGCTGTTTTTCTGGCGAGGCGTCAACTCAGAGCCCAGAAGCTTCAGTAGATCTGATTTAGTTCCAGGTCTGTGCTTTTGCTGTTGTTTCTCTCTCATCTCCGCCTCCTTTTGAAACCGTACCTCTTTATTCAGACCCCTTTACGGCATTGTAATACACTCTTGAAGCAGCAATGTTATAGCAAAAAAAAAAAAAACTGTACAAACTTGCTCAAAGCACAAAAAGAAGCGTTGGAATGGCAAAAAATACCCAGTCCCTGATGAAATATTGTAGCTCCGCCGAATCATTAGAATCACTCCCCTCGTTACTCATTGTCCAATTTTCCTCCGCGTTCACCAGCGATGCCATCTGCCAGTGCCGCCGCGGGGGGATAGGGAGGCGGCGAGGAAAAAGGAAAGCTTTTCATTTAATTAGCGAGACGGGGCTGGTTGCTGTGTGTGCAGTACCTGCGTCAGGAGAGGCCGGATCTCACTTCTGAGAGTGTCGTCTCTCTGCTGCCACCCGGTGGAGGCGGCGGGGCGTAGCAGCCCTGGATTTCCGTCAAAGCCTTTTTTGATACGTGTGTTTTTGTGCGTTTGCATCCTCAGTGTTGGGAGAATGGCATCATCCTCTGCAGGGAGCTGGCTGACCAGTACGAGTCCTTCTATGACTACAGGAACTTAAGTAAAATGAGGGTAAGCCGGAAGAGAGGCACACATCCCAAAGGAGGGCAGCAGGATTGTTTAATGACCTGGTTATTGTTTAATGACCTGGTTATTCAGGGAGAGAAAGAGAGAAGCAAAAACTATGTATATATTTTTTACTGTTGCATGTGACTTCTTTTTTCCAGATGATGGAAGCTTCTCTTTATGACAAGATTATGGATCAGCAAAGATTAGAACCAGAGTTCTTCAGAGTTGGATTCTATGGAAAAAAGTTCCCCTTCTTCTTACGGGTAAAGAAGTCTCCACATTTTTTCCTCTAATGAATAGAGCCGAGTTTTTTTTTTCTTCCTGTCTCCCAGAAAGAGGTAGACCTGCGGAAAGAATGAACTTGACTTACGTAAGACTCCTCCGGTGTAAGGTGACATTCGACAGCGCTATTTAATGATGTAACCCACGCCGTCCTTGGCGGAGTGTTTGGATCTGGAGCCGCAGTTGCCCGCCGCCGCCACTAGATGCCAAGCTAACCCCGCGCTCTTCTCCCCCACGCTGCAGAACAAGGAGTTTGTGTGCCGTGGCCATGACTACGAGAGGCTGGAGGCTTTCCAGCAGCGGATGCTCAACGAGTTCCCGCACGCCATCGCCATGCAGCACGTCAACCAGCCCGATCAGACCATATACCAGGCCGACGCGCAGTGTATCCTTACCCACACAGAAACGAGTCCAGGGGAACGACGGCGAGCCATAATCATAAGTCCGTTCTCTGTACGATGCATGCAGGACACAGAGTCAAACCTGCTTTCACACTAAACCCGAGGCCCTGTTTCCTAGTGGTAGAATATCACTGACTGGATTTATAGTTTTTGCAGAAAAAGGCTAATAATATTACTAAGCGTCCGATTTTATTCTCAGTTATGCACTAATTAAGGCTCTGAGGAGGTCACATGTATGTGTGCTGAAATATGGGACACGTATGGAATATACGGGCGTGTTCTCACACATTGTTTTTTTTTCCTCTGAAACCACCGGGACACCAAGTGAGAAAAAAAATCCCCCCCCCCCCCCCCCGTCCTCATGCTTTGTTCAAATTCATCCATATGGTATGTGGGCCATGTTAATAATTCACACAAATGTATGGGACACAGAAGTAAGATAACAACAACTCAAAAAAGCAGAATAGAGCTACGACAACAAAGGAAGCAGCTCTGAGAGTAAAGAGAAGGAAATGATGCGCACGTGAAGGGGTTGAACTGAGAGCACATTCTATTGGATATGTTATTATCCAATGCCAATCAATAAGCACCTAAAAAGGTTTTGCTCACCCATTCGTGTGTCCTTATTACACTAATTCATGTGTGTGAAATCCCAGATTAGCCCAAAGTGGGGCTGTTCTTCTGCCTTCCACTGTTTACACAAAAAAAAAAAAGAAGAAAAGAAAGACAGGTCATCCGTGCTGTTTTTTCCTCAGAGGTCAGAGTAGAAGTTTGCGTGCACGCGGCTGTAAATAACAAACTCGGCTGTCCGTCCTCCTCATCTGCGTGCCAAAGGTTTCTAAATTCTTCCAGGTCATTGAAATGTTGTTGGGAGCTTCTTTCCCTCGTGGCTCTCTGGCGCTTTTCCTTCACCTGGGGCCCCCGCAGACCTGCAGATCTACGCGGTGACTCCCATCCCGGAGAGCCAGGACGTGCTCCAGCGCGACGGCGTGCCCGACAACATCAAGAGCTTCTACAAGTTTAACCACATCTGGAGGTTCCGATACGACCGGCCCTTCCACAAGGGGACCAAAGACAAAGAGAACGAGTTTAAGGTCAGAACAGAAAAGAAATATCTCTGTTATATCATTCAGAATGAAAGAAATGAATGAAACGAGCTGTTTTTCTGTGTTTTCGCTAAGAACAAAAAGTCTGAAAATTCAAGAAGTCCCGTTTTTTATTAGCATTTCCCACTAAAGATTGATGTGAAAAAGCCTCTTCCACCTCCTCCTCTGTCTTCATCCATCAAGAGCTGTGCTGTTGGGGATAGTTTGCAACTCAGCTCAGGTATTAGTGTGCGTATAGTGCATGTTTTATTCATCCCGGCTCCAGTATCAGTAATTATACACCGAAATCCGAGCGCTAGTCAGAGCCACGTGAAGCTTAGCACAAATGAAGTATTTACAGCCTGGTTCAGTCACATAGCCGAACACGCTCAGAGCCCAATATTATTCTCATAAATATTCCATTTTATTACACACACAGTTCTCTCATCACACTTCTATCAAGGTTATTTGGCCAAATTTAATCACGGTATTGCATTTCCATGAGGCCTGGGTATCCCTGGTCGTCAGCGGGGAATAATACGTACAATAAACCCTGTCAAAGCCCGGCGTGTTTTCAGCAGTCGGCCATCCTTCATGATGAAGCGGTAAAGAACAGTCCCCGAAACCCAACAAAGTTTCTATCAGGAAACAAATGTTGTCAGAAAGGTCGAGCCTCGCTTTCAACTTCCTGGTCTTCATATGGGTTTTTTTTTTTTTTTCCCGACTTGTTCAGGTGCATTTCTTGGCTTTTAAAAGCACAAAATCAATAGAGAGCAGCAGGGTTGTGTAGTAAGTCGGAAGACCCTTCCTTCAGCGTGAAGGCACCGGATCGATGGCGCGTATCAGCTCTCATCCGCCCTGCTGGAGGGTCCGAGAGCAAGTGGGTTCTACACTAGGCTCAAAGTGAATTAAGCTGTCCGGTTTCTGCACTTTAACCAGCAAAAACAGCACGAGCATAATCTACCTCACCAGAGTTGTGAAGCTACGCTTTGAGTAAGATTTGTATTATTTTTCGGCATTGAGATTAAGAAATAATCACCTACAAACATCAGTTTTGGCTCTAACTTCAGCTCTGTTTTGTTAGATGTGTAGTCTGCTTTATTTTTGCTTTGTATTTCGCACCATAGACGGAAAAGGATTGTTTTTTAAGCATCAAAATTGAAGGCCCTGTTATGCAACGTGGCGGGTTGTGCACAATCTGCATGAGACTGTTTAAACTCAGAGAGGGCAATTCTCCAAATGAAAAGGAAAGAAATGTGCAATTAAGGAGGAAGCCAAAGGCGTCTTATCAAAGCTTAATTACAGTGGGGGTGGGGTTTTTTTTTCTCTGTCGGCCACGAATAGACTGTTTTTCTTTCTCACTTGTGAAAAAATATCCCCTAATAACAGATAATATGAAGCTATGTATCATATATCAAGCTATATATATATATATGTGTGTGTGTGTGCGTGTATGTATGGAATTTAAAACTAATAGAAAGGCAACAAGCACTTTTATTTGAGTGGAAAGCTCCAAAGTTGGGTCTAAAAGACATCAAATGGGCAAAGTTTAGTAGAAGCTAAAGTGACTTTCTGAGATTGTCTCAGTCCACAAAAAAAAAAAAAGGGACAACTTTCAATCCCTCAGGCATTTTGACATGTTTACAACATGGTGTAAACTATATTATATGTGCTCCACTTTGGGGTGACTCTATTATGGTAATAGGCTCCAGTAAATGTTTGAGTTTCTGTAGTTTACGCCCTGTCAGAGTGACCTTGTGAGACGTTGGCGTATTGACAAGCGTGCTGGCTGACAGCGTAAGTGGTGGAACATGAATGATGATGGAAGATATAAGACCTGACACCTGACCTAGACCTAAGGGTGGCTGTTTGGGAGGATGCGTGCTTATATCGTGTTTCCCTTAAACTATGAGTCGGTAATGAAATTGCGTGCTTTCTGCCAGAGACGGAGTGCGTTTGTGCATTAGGCATAAGCAGCCATCGATTTTTCTTCTTTGCTTTTTTTTTTTTTTAAAGTGTGTTCCGCGATTGGGTGTGCTTCATGGGCTGTTTTGTGCGGGTTTTTTTTTTTGCAGAGCCTGTGGGTGGAGAGGACAACCCTGACTCTGGTCCAGAGCCTCCCGGGCATTTCCCGCTGGTTTGAAGTGGAAAAAAGAGAGCTGGTGAGTGTGAGCGGCTCAGACACAAACACAGCCACGGCACACGGGGGACTCGGCTGAAAATACCGCCGGCCAATACCTTAATATTGATCCGAGTCATTATGCCCGGCAACAATAATGGCACAAGTAATTCCTTCCACCGGACGGATTGATTTGTGTTCCAAAAAGACTAAATGTGTCCTTTTTTGATCCTCCACATGTCAAATGGCGAGAGTGGATTTTTAAATGTGGATTTTCTCACCGTTTGTTTCTGGTCTCGCACACGCTTGCTCAACATAAATCCGCTAAAAGGCTTATTGTCTCGGATCATCTCGTTCCAATCTCTTAAGGAGGAGGCGGATTTTCGTTCGGTTTCCAGTCCCGAGACGCACACCCCTCCAGTGGAAAACTGTGCTGTGCAAAGCCGATGCAACCATGTGATGTTTGCGCAGTGTAAAGGCAAATAAAATACCAAAAAACGCCCAAAAACGGACAAAACAAAGCTTTGTGTCAGTACGACAATGGGAACCAGAGAGTGAAGGAGGATATGCAGAACATTTCTACACTTCTTAAGTAGAACTAAGAGATGATTACCATTTAACCATTTAACACATTTGATTTACTTATGTCTCTCTTTGCATTCAGAGACAACAGAATTGGAAACAATAGGTCCTCTATTCAGAACAGCACCACTGAGCCGATCCAGTGTTGATAGAAAATACCAAAGAAATCCTTCTCTATCCAAACAAATATGCTGTTAAAGACACTTAGAGCTTTATTCAGACTATATTAGGAAAGCAGCTGTAATGACTTCCCCCACAACGCAGCGGCAAACTTCCCGCTCTCCCGCCTTTCATAGAGGAGCAATTAGCAGCTAAACAGGAGGATATTTCTGTTGTTTAGAGAAAGAAACGCTGTCTTTGGTTTGTGTATAGAAGATGAGCCGTACCGGTTCATCACATCTGCCCAAAAGGTGGCAGGCAACATCTGTCCAAAGGTCAGAAGTCAAAAGTAGCAGGACAGGGTTTGATCTCAGAAAACAAAACTTCTGCATTGGTGATATTTGAGCCTAAATAAATGCTGCAAATCTGATTGGAGCGGCTGATTTCTGTGGCAACTCTGCTCTCCGTTTATCCAACATGGCTGCCGTCGAGGTTGGCAGCCATGTCCTGAACATCCATCCAGATGTTTCATTTTCCCTTTGTCTCCGAAATTAAACCTTTGACTCCTGAGTCAAAGTTCTTGACCAGGGTTCAGACTAGAGTGCTGTTTTCTTCAATTTACCACATAATGTAGCTCAGAAAACTGTTATTTCAGACCTTTTTCCACAGTTTCTTTGTGAATGTGGAGCTCAAACACCTCCTCATTCTGACCGCAGAGGGTCAGAAAAGCTTCAGAGTCTCTGTGCCCGCAGGTGGAGGTCAGCCCGCTGGAGAACGCCATCGAGGTCATCGAGAACAAGAACCTGCAGCTGCGCACGCTCATCACCCAGTGCCAGAGCCGGCAGATGCAGAACATCAACCCCCTCACCATGTGCCTCAACGGGGTCATCGACGCCGCTGTCAACGGGGGGCTGGCCCGCTACCAAGAGGTATGATGACCGCCCCGGGGGGGTGGAAAGCTTTTCAGAGACGGAGACAGAGTGATGTGTGAAGGTGGGATGGACCAAGCTAGGCTGTATAGCACATTTAGAGACGATTCAAAGTGCTTCACAGGGAATTTAAAAGCAGAAAAACAAGAAAGGAAAATAATAAAAATTAGACAAAATATGAAATGCATTCAATTTCCATCTGCAGAGTTAAGCAGAAGCGTTTTCAGCCTGGATTTAAACATTCAGAGTTGGGTTTTGTCTCACGTCTTCTGGAAGACTGATTCAGATTTTAAGAACCTGGAAGCGAAATCCACCTATCCACCTTTATTTAAATAGCACGATGTAAACAAACACAGGGTTTTTTCCAAAGTGCTGCACAAAAACATATCCGAGAAAAATAAATAACACAGCAGAAATTCAGCTAAAAGTAAAAAAAAAAAAACCCTGCATGAGTATACATAAAATCAACAACACTCTCCATGGTGTCAAATGAATCCTCTCCTTGTTTAGTTCTGACTCTGGAACCCATCAGGAGACCAGAACCTGAGGTTCTCAAAGTCCGGGTTGGTTCATATGGCTCTAACATGTCAGAAAGCAAGACGTATGGAAGGGGGAGTGTTTTGTTGAGTGTGGG